ACACTACCACAAGCACACAACCACAAACACACAACCACAAACACACAGCCACAAACACACAACCACAAACACACAACCACAAACACACAACCACAAACACAAAACCACAAACACACAACCACAAACACACAACCACAAACACACAGCCACGAACACACAACTCAACCACAAACACACAACCCAACCACAAGCACACAACCACAAACACACAACCACAAACACACAACCACAAACACAACCACAAGCAGACACACAACCACAAACAGACACACAACCACAAACACACACCCACAAACACACACCCACAAACACGCAACCACAAACACAAACACACAACCACAAACACACAACCACAAACACAACCACAAGCACACAGCCACAAACACACAACCACAAGCACACAACCAAAAACACACAACCACAAACACAACCACAAACACACAACCACAAGCACACACCCACAAACACACAACCGCAAGCACACAACCACAAACACACAACTCAACCACAAACACACAACCACAAGCACACACCCACAAACACACAACCGCAAGCACACAACCACAAACACACAACTCAACACAAACACACAACTCAACCACAAACACACAACTCAACCACAAACACACAACCACAAACACACAACCACAAGCACAACACACATTCACAAACACACAACTCAACCACAAACAAACGCACAACCACAAACACACACAACCACAAACACACAACCACAAACACACAACCACAAACACAATACCACAAGCACACAACGACAAACACACAACCACAAACACACAACCACAAACCCAACACACAACCACAAACACACAACCACAGACACAAAACCACAATCACACAACCACAAACACACAACCACAAACACACAACCACAACACACAACAACAGCACACAACCTGAGGACCCACAAGCAAAATTGAGAACTACAATACTCACGACCATGGCAACATGCCCCTCACGATGGCATCAAGACAAATGATTGAAATGTCATGGTGGGGATTACTCGAAGTAAAGTAATTCTCTTTTTGTGGAATCTTTATGACTTCCAAAAACACTGGCTAGCCAAAAGCTTTAGATTCCCTTATCAAAACCCTATCAAAGAAATAGACAAGTTATGTTCAAAGGGTACCCCTTTGGACTCCCACCCCTGCAACTATATACAAACCTACAATAATGAACCCCACTCCAGCCCTGCTGGCTTATCCTTGCCTTGCGCTTTACCTTTTATTTTTAAGTCCTATCTTCTTCTTCTTATTTCTTTTCTTTTTTTGGCGTAATCTGTATTTTTCAAAAAAACTGGCTAGCCAAAAGCTTTAGATTCCCCTATTAAACCCTATCAAAGAAATAGAAGAGTTTAAGGGTACCCCTTTAGACTGCCACCCTTGCAAGCATAAACAAACCTACAATAATCAATCCCCTGCATCCCTGCTGGCTTATCCTTGCCTTGCGCTTTACTTTTCTATTTTCAAGTTCTCCTATCGTTTTCTTCTTTCTTTTGCTTCTGTTTTTGTGGCTGAGTGAGGATGTGCCAGTCACAAGGACAGAAGCAAAGTGTGGGTGCAACAACTTTCTTCTTCACAGAAAAGGAAAAGCACACACAGTGGTAGTTGAGCCCCAGACCTCTGGGGTCTTAGTCGCGCTAGTCCTATTACGATACCACCACACCACGGGCAGTTGACAGCAGTGTAAAAAGATGAGCTTTGCTTGCCCAGCTGAGGTCAGTTTTTCTTCAAGCCACCACACCAAAAAGCACCAGCCACAACACACTGAGCAAACTGAGCAAAGTGGCTTGGTTAGTTGTTGGCTGGCTTCCTGGTCTCTAGCCGCGCGCTCGCAGCCCAAATCTGAGCAGTGCAGTGCCCCAGGCTCCTGGATCTTTGAGCGGCCTCTTGGTCATGGAGGGCTGCCCTCAACCACAGCCACCAAAATGAAAAACGCAGAAAGTGGCTTGGGTGGTTGTTGGCTGGGTTCCTGGCCCCCAGCAGCCAATGTCTCAGTCATCAGAGAAAACAGAGAGGCCTGTGGCAGGACTCAGAGCTGTTAGACACTTCTGGCACAAGGAGCAATGTTTGCTGCCTTGATCCTCACCCACTCTCCAGAGCACATTGAGGGTTTTGACAATGGAGACAGCCTTGTGTTTTCGGGCAACGGAAGCTATGTTTGCTGCCTTGATCCTCACACTCTCCAGAAAACATTGGGGCAGCAGGACTTGTTAGACAATGGAGACAGCGCCTTGTGTCTTCTGGCAACAGAAGCAATGCTTGCTGCCTTGATCCTCACCCACTCCAGAGCGCATTGACCTGTTAGACGTGACAGCTTCTGGCAACAGAAGCAATGTTTGGAAGTGCCTCGATTCAGAGGACATGAGCGAAGACCGAGTCAGAAAGCAGACGCGGGAGTCAGACAAACGCGAGTCAGAAAGCACAAAGGCGCGAGTCAGAAAGCAGAAAGGCGCGAGTCAGAAAACACCGGGCGCCCGCTGTCTGTGCCGCCAGCCTGCCAGCGCTCAGCCGCCGGCCGACTCAGTACCCCGCCGGCCGACTCGACGCACCGCCGGCCGACTCGGCACACCGCCGGCCGACTCGGCGCGCCGGCGGCCAACTCGCATGGCCTTGACATTGAGAGGACAGCTGGCAATAGAAGCAATGTTTGGAAGTGCCTTGATCCCCACCCACTCTCCACACTGCCTTGTGTCTTCTGGCCACAGAAGCAATGTTTGTTTGGAGGTGCGTCGATCCTCACTCGCTCTCCAGAGGAGGTGCCTTGAGCCTCACTCACCCTCCACAGGGCATTTAGGGGACTGGGGCACTGCACTGCTCAGATTTGGGCTGCGAGCACGCTGCTAGAGACCAGGAAGCCAGCCAACAACCAACCAAGCCACTTTGCTCAGTTTGCTCAGTGTGTTGTGGCTGGTGCTTTTTGGTGTGGTGGCTTAAAGAAAACTGGCTTCAGCTGACAGGCAAGCAAAGTTCATATTTATTACCCTGTTTGCAAGTGTCCGTGTGGCCGAGTGGTATCGTAGCAGGACTAGTAGGATTTAGATCGGGGTTCAATCTCTTCTTTTTTCTTCTTCTTCCTTCTTCTTTCTTCTTTCTTCTAGTACTACTACGACTACTAGTACTACTAGTACGCATCTACCCCTACTACTACTACTGCTACTGCTACTGCTGCCACCACTACTACTACTACTACTACTACTAATTACTACTACTACTACTACTACTACTACTTCGACTACTACTACGACTACTCCTACTCCTACTAACTACTAACTACCATTATATCCCCTTTGCCAGATGGCCTGGAGGCTTATTATTGCAGTTCATATTTTTTCCATAGGGCCTTAGGGGGGGCTGTTTACTATTGAGAGGTTGACATTAGGCTGCTACCGGCAAAGTTGGAGCTTTGATATCGAGTTTAGAGGGCACCGAGGGCACCTGTTGAACGCCGAAGTGACTACTCAAGCAAATGTATGCATCGCCAAATTCTGGAGCTGTGCGCCATCGGATCCCGTCAATCTGCATACAGAGTGCTGGGTATTTTGATGCCACCCACTTTGCCCAACGGTGCAACATCAGTTTCAAGGTTGCCAGCGGTTTGGCGCTGATTCCTCAATATTTTTGTTGGTCGGAGAGACATCGCCTTGGTTGCCGATCGCAGGACACTAATAAAGACTTCTCTGATGAAAGTTCTGAGGAAACGGACGCAACACCCAGGATCCAACTGTGGCGTTGTTTGATGGAGTCAGAGTATCACACCTTAGGAAATTTGTCCAAATCACTTCATTTGAGCGCTGCAGCTCTGAGACTTCACTTGGAACATGTCATGAAGCAGGCGCAAGGCCTCAAAAAGAAGTCCCTGAATTGGCGAGAAAGACGACACATTCCGCCAGATTGTGATGCGAGCAGTGTTCGACTAAAGGTTTTTCCTTCAACGTGTCCTTCGTGCGACTGGGAGGCCAAGAGCGCGGCCAAACGTATCATGGGTGTCAAGGTATGCAAGAGATGTGGCAGTCGAGCAATGTCTCCTGTGTTGCTTTCAATGGTTTGCAAGAAGATCCAACACGGTCCAGGAAACAACTCCTGACAAAGTACTTTGGCTCTTCATAGTTGGCCTTGAACTTGAGCGGTTGTCGCGGAACAGAAGAAGCATGAAGAAGTCATACCGAACTGTTGGGGAGCGCTTGTGCCAAGCTGATTGCAAATTAGTGACTGATGCCTGCTTACTCCGGCTGACTAGCTGTTTGGCTAAATACTCAAGGCCAATACGATGAGCAGGACAGCAGCGGTTGCATTGTTTGCCTTCGCACTGGTTCTCTTGTGTTCTCAAAAACTGAAAACTGATTTGTTCATACTTCCTCGGACTTACCTAGTGGCGACTAGTGATTGACATCACATATGAGTGTATGAGCCCAAATGATAGCACCTTTGCCCTCGCAGCCTTTATGAGAGCGCCCACTTGTGCTTGCCTTGGCAGGGGTTTCGGAGGAATCCACTCATGCAAGTCCAGAGCAACTTTCTGTCCCTGAGGCATGACAAATGTCTATTGCAGGTCCTGTCCCTGCTGCTGGCTTTTGTTTGTTTGTTTGCTTTCCGAAAGCATATTGGCTTGCAAATGTCGGAGCCGAGTGAGCTACGTGTGAATCAGTGACGAGACTGCAAAGTTATGTTATGGAACTATCGGCTATCGGTATCGTCTAATCTTGCGGTCGTCAACCCGGAATAAATGTGCCGGAACTCGCTTACCGTTTAACAAACCTACTTGGACTCCAACAAATCCTAAGCCCTTTGGACTTAAAGACTCACGTGATTTTGCTTGCCTTATGTCTCTGCAGCTGAAGCTCCAAAAGCATCTCTGCCAGAACGGCAGATATCTTCACCCCATTTCTCGCAACTTGCCTGCAAAAATATTCGGTGCGATGCATACAACCTGATAGAGCTATCTAGAGCTATAGATGTTGTTCTACTTATTTTCACCCAATGTTCTATCTTCACAGTTTACTTGCAGAATAGCACAGGAATAGCCTTTGCTCGGCGGTTTCACTGTATTTTTGTGCAAGCCATGTTTTCCTTCGGCAGGTTTCCACGTAAATCGTGGTCTTACGTCAAGGACGTACCTACTCGTTCTAAGAATCTCTTTACACACAGAACCTCTTTTTGAAACAACCTGCCCTAAGCTTTTGCCAAGGCAATGGCGCTCAACAACGTGTCAAAGCTCATGTGCACCGCTTCTGTCTCCACCATGCTCTTAGAACCCAATAGTATCCAATAGTGTCGTTGTATGTCGTTGTGGTGTTTTTGTGTCATAGACGTTCAGCAGAACCGACTGTTTGTGTCGCAGTTCTTCAACAGAATTCTGCAATTAGCTTTTGCTGCAGACAGATTGCAAGACACATCTGGGGGAGGCATTGTGCAATGCTTGTCCTGAGGCTTCTTCCTCGGTCTGCCGTGGCATGGGGTGTTGCCTTGTTGCAATGTGGACCTACAAAAGCCCTGGCACCAGTTCAACTCAAGTCTACAGTGTAAAATCTCATACCCAGCAACCAGCCCAGGTTTGGCACGCGTGGCTTGTTTGGCGGTGGTGGTGAAGTTGTCTGAAAGCAGCCTTCTTCATGTGGACGAAGGATTCAAGCCTCAAGGATGCACACAGTTTTAGTAGTGCCACTTATATCCAGTCAGTCTTGTTCAAGATCTTTATTATGCCGTGCCCAGAGTGATGGACTGCTTGAGCAAAGGTTGCAATACATGCTGTTTCAAGAGTGCAATATTCAATGAGGTTATACTTGTGCAAACAGGGAAACGTCTTCATCCATCTCGATGGAGAAACAGGCAGGCATTCGGCATGTGGCTTTGAAGGCCATCCCTTATTTGATATGATTGTTCAGGCAGGAGCCGCCCTTCTTTTGACGGCCACGTCTTTGGAAGAGCAGCTTGGTATATAAGTCTATATGTAGGGTGTTTTAAGCGGTTCAACAACGGAGTCGACCATGCTGCAAAACAGGATCTCGCCACCGCCACCTCACAATAGGGTGTGTATACTAATATATAAGAATTATATATACTGTATATATATATATATATGTCTATATGTTGTTCTTTGTGTGCCGAGGTGCAAGCACCTCTTCCACCAACAGGCATGTGCTGCCCATCCAAGCTCAGGTGGAACTCTGCAAGAGTTTCTTGGAAGACTACACCACGGTAATTTTCATCAATGTCTCACTGTTTTATCAATAATTAATAGAAAAGCTCTAAGCCAGTGTTTTGAGGTTCAATATCACACTGAATACGTTCAGTGCTTTGTGCCATGGCTATGCGATGACGGGTGACCTTCAGTGGTTGCCCTCTGCAGAATCCAGCTCGTGCCTCAGTTTTCCAGAACATCTCTGAGCGCGGAGAAATTAATGCAAAAGGCAACACCATGAAAAGACAAGCCAAGACAAGGAGAGAAGGAAATGGACACATCGGCAAAAATATGAGTGAGGGAGGGCAGATCAAAGCGGTGCCGAAAAGAGAAGGTGTGACTGGGTCTCTTTCATGAGGGGCCCCTTTAGGCCCAGTCGCACCTTTTGATTCTTTGCCCTCGACTTGGACTTCTTTCGAAGGCCTGGCTGAACTCCAAGCATTGTTGCGGCGCCTGAACCCTGTGTGTCGCAGAGAAGCGATCCGGCGCCTCTCGATGCAACAGCGTCAGTGTCTAGAACAGTCGATGCTCAGGCCCGAAACGCCGAGAGTCGCACCCATCGAGTCCATTCAATATATTCAATTCCATAACAAGAATAAGATGTAGCGATGACCTCCAACTCAATAGCGATGGCCTCCAACTTAATAGCGATGGCCTCCAACCTCATAGCGATGGCCTCCAACTTAATAGCGATGGCCTCCAACCTCATAGCGATGGCCTCCAAGTTAATAGCGATGGCCTCCAACTCAATAGCGATGGCCTCCAACTTAATAGCGATGGCCTCCAACTTAATAGCGATGGCCTCCAACTCAATAGCGATGGCCTCCAACTTAATAGCGATGGCCTCCAACCTCATAGCGATGGCCTCCAACTTAATAGCGATGGCCTCCAACCTCATAGCGATGGCCTCCAACTTAATAGCGATGGCCTCCAACCTCATAGCGATGGCCTCCAACCTCATAGCGATGGCCTCCAACCTCATAGCGATCGCATCCAACTTAATGGCGATGGCCTCCAACTTAATAGCGATGGCCTCCAACCTGAGAGTGATGGCCTCCAACCTAAGAGCGATGGCCTCCAACCTAAGAGCGATGGTCTCCAACTTACTAGCGATGGTCTCCAACCTCATAGCGATGGCCTCCGACCTCATAGCGATGGCCTCCAACCTCATAGTGATGGCCTCCAACTTAATAGCGATGGCCTCCAACCTCATAGTGCTGGCCTCCAACTTAATAGCGATGGCCTCCAACCTGAGAGTGATGGCATCCAACGTAAGAGCGATGGCCTCCACCCTAGTAGCGATGGCCTCCACCCTAGTAGCGATGGCCTCCACCCTAGTAGCGATGGCCTCCAACTGGCCTCCAACCTCATAGCGATGGCCTCCAACTTAATAGCGATGGCCTCCAACTTAATAGCGATGGCCTCCAACTTAATAGCGATGGCCTCCAACCTCATAGCGCTGGCCTCCAAC